AGGTCTGGGTGCGCAACGTAAATACGAGCTAGCCAATTCAATAACAATACATGGGCTATCACGGGATAATTTGACGATCTTGGATTATGAACTTTTGGGAGATGGTTTCTACAGCTGGGACAAGGAGCTGCTGTCGAAGGTGATTTTGAGGCATATCCAAATGTTGGATGTTGATACGGTTGTTACATTTGATGAACAGGGTGTTTCGTCACATCCCAATCATATTGGCTGCTTTCGAGCTTTACAATATCTCTATACAAATGGCATGATTCCGGCTGGAGTACAGGTATTAGTAATTCAGTACTTAAAATTTTGATAAATTAAAGGATTAAATGATAATTCATTGGCCAAGTACTCCGTAACTACTTAATTTAAATTCAAATATTTTATGGTTATGAAAAAGGTTGTAACTAAAAGTAATAAGTAAAAGTGAAAATAAAAACTGAATTAGAGTGTTAAGTCGCATACATCTCCGTTCAGTACTGTAACTGGACCTTGTCAGCGAGATGGTTGCAACAGAAGTATTAAAAGCAACTTCGCTTTAGCAATTGTGATAATCCATAGGCGAATCCAGGACGAACTCCTTGGGGGAAGGGACGGGAAGAGGAGGGGGTACGAAGGGGGCAGGAAGGAGAGTTTCCTCCTCCCCGGAACCATGCCAAAACTAGGAATAGAGTTGTAACACACTGCTACTTAGAGTTACTTTAGGCTTTAATTTTTTGTTTAACCTTAGACCCGGGCTTTTGCAGCACTGGTGCCTGTGTACCGTCGGGTTCCCCCTGCCCGGCTCCACCTATGGATAATCTAATATTAAATGGTGATTTCTTTTTCTTGCTTAAATACTTGAATCAGCTGTTTCGTTCCTCAGAGGTTTGCAGTTAGCAAAATTTCCAATCATTTTGACGAATACTGCATTGCCTCTGGTTCCCATTTTTTTTTTTCTAATAATTACTTTTCCCTCTTCTTATAGGTATTCATTTTGGAAACTGTTCCAAAATGGAGGAAGTATGTGATACCGCTGGATGCGATAATCAGTTCCTGGCACTCCACATTCCTATACATCTCATCACCGTCCCAGTACATCACAACATGGCGTGCAATGCTGGCACATCGAACGCAACTTCGTTGGTTTCGTTACCTGTACATGTTGTTCAGTCGTTATATTCTCATAAATACCCTCAAAAGAATACATGAGCAACCAAGACGTCCGGTCCTAAAGAAAAAAACGCTTTAAGTTTCGCAAAGTTTTGACGAGCAGTGCGTTTTTTTTCAACATTTTTATGTGTTAACCTGTGTCTGTTTTAACTAATTCTAGGCTATGGATATTCATCCTGCAACCCGAGTACCAAGATTTTTGAATCTAGGGGAACAGCCGATCGGAAGGGGGTGCTTTATATACTTGGTTATTTGAAGCGAACACTAGTTCCCCTCTGGCCCACTAGTGATGATGTAGTGGACAACCTTGCCGTTTTGGAAGGAATAATTTTTATAAAAGGAATTAAAATTACGGTAAATGCTTGAGGATCGTACACGGCGGGTAGTTGGGGAAAAGGTGAGGGAGGAAGAAAAGGGAAAAGGGGAAGAGAAACCCTATGAAAATGAAGACACTGAAAGAGAAGTGTTAAAAAAAAATTTCCTCCGTCGTTACTCATACTCACAAAATTTTTTAGGTATTGAATGTTTTAGGTTTATGTTTTCCTCATCACACAAAGTATTATTGTTACTGATGAATTGTTGTTTGTAGTTTTTTTTATTTTTTAACTCGCTATTTGTTATTCGATAAAATATTTTCTAAGGAGCAGGGAAGTGGGAAATTTTGCAGTGTCTCTCCTTCCCCTCTCCCTCGTTCCTCTGCCGCTCCTCAGGCTCTTTGCAATCTGTTTTTCGAAGATATAAAAATTTGAACCCAAATTTTCAACCACCATGGGGTTTTGGCAACTTGAAATAGAATAGAATGGAA